AATAAATAAATAAATAAATAAATAATTAACATATTAAACTTAATGAACTATAGGTTCGCAATTATATGTACCTTGTAGAACTCTGGCCAATTTCGTTTTTAATTTTAGGATAGGATATTTCCTCTTCAGCAGCAGTAAAGATCCGCAAGTTAAATTCGTTTGACCCCTTGTACCAAAACTCAGCAATATGTTTTTCTTTTATCCCATAAAAAGCAATCATGTCATTTACCCCTTTGTTAAAGATACCAACAGTTTTACATAAATTTTTCAGGTAAACCTTGAAGGAGTTTCCTTGAGGGTCTGTAATGAGACACTCCCCTGGTTCAATTTTACAGATCCAGTATTTGTAAAATTGACCATCTATCAGAACTGCTCTTCCAACTTAATCAAAATGTGCTACAATTTGTGAAACTTTTGCCTTACAAAATTTTAAAAGTTGATTTGCTTTTGCTTTTAATTAACCTACACCCTAAATATGATCGATCATACCTATAAAATTATTATCAAACTTTTGAATTTATAAAGTGATTGAATTTTGCATAACATGTAAAATTTTATAACAATAAAAGATAAAAAAAAGTATATTTTTAATGATACTTTATCTATTTAGCCATCTAGTTAAATTGATTTGTAACATTGTAAGTTGTGATACTATTTTATTATTTCTAGTCATTTTATATTGTTGAGTGAGTTATTAATTAGTGTTGAGAAATTTGAAGTCTGAGAATCCCTTAGGAGCTTCAGTAGTATTAAAAGGGAGTTTCTCTAGGTAGAGGTTCAATTTGACCTAAAGGAAATAGTATATAAGATTTTTATTTTTAATAGAGTCTCATAAACTCTTTTCCTCAACTTTCTAGAGAGAGGATTATAAAGAGAAGGTATCTAATCTGTGAGTTCCATTTTCTCTTAATCGTATCTTTTTCTTTCTTCAATCCTTATCTAAGTTGTGTTGTTTGTGATTTGGGTTAGTAGGAACCTCAAATCAATCCGTGAGATTGTTTGGTGTTTGACATTTCTCTTCTCCTTCTTCCATCTCAAACCCAAGCTACTTTGAGGTAAAAGAAGCTGGAAATTTATGTGTGATGTATGCATTGAGGGTTGGGAAACTATTTTTGAGTTGTGTGTTGTATGGAATCTCATTATGTGCGACTGTGTTGATGAAATCAAAGGGGGGAGCATGTTGGAAAAGGGGTTTTTGAGTTGTTGGTTATAATCATTGAATCTTTGCACAATCTTGTTTGCATGTTGAATTTGAGGGCATTTTTTAGTTGATTGTGATGTATATACTTGTTTTTTTATATTGCATGTGTTGGAACCTTGTTGGATTTCATGCTATGGCTCAAAATCAGGTTCTGCATATGTAAAATTTTGATGTCGCATCAGGTGCTATTCTAACTTGAGGTTCTTTGTCCGATCATGTCGAGTATAAGATTTGATGGAACCTTCAAGTGAGAAAGCTCCATGGATGCTTAAAAAAAATCCTCCTCAGTTCCTTGTGGTTGATGCAAGGAGTTGAAAACTATGAAGAGGAGCAAGTGTAGCTGAGAGTAATCTTCCAATTTCTATTAGAAGAAGGATGATCCTAACTCTACAAAGAGAGAAGCTCAAGTAGAGAAAAAGAGAGGATCTTAGAGGTGACTTTCGGTGGAGAGAATTTGCAAAGAGAATTCTCATATAATTTCTAAAAGTGTTTATAATATCCGGCCATGGAGAATTTATAGCATTAGGAAGTGTGTGTGACAAGATAGGCTTAACCCAAGGTTAAGTTAAACCATGGTATGGTTTAACTAACCTTAGGCGCCAAAATTTAAATATTCGAATTCAAATTTTGGGAGCCAAATCCGGTCACACCATGTGCCACTCCATTTGCATGTGATTTAGCATGCATTTAGGAGTAATTTCGGACGCCCCATGTGCATGAGTGCACATGGCCGAAATGCTCTCTAAATGTGATGCTAATTACATGTAAATTGAAATGCACATGTACTCCTAATTAACCCTAAATTCAAATGGCCATGAAATTAAATTCCTAATCTACTTGGCCAAAATACAAGGCCCAAAAACAAAATACAAGCCCAAAGGCCCAAACCTATACTACACCCTAGTCTACTTGGGCTTGAGTTAAAGCCCAACTAAAAAGTACTATGGGCTTCTCTTGAACATTGGCCCATTCTTCATGCATTTTTTTGGCCATAGCCCTAGTAGTTGGGCCTTTGGCCCATGGGCCTCCATCAAGATTGGTGGCACTAGGTGTGGGAAAAAGGACTCTTCTTTGGTCAGCATAGCGTCTAACGTGGTTTGAATGACACCTGGTGTGGAAACCTTGAGTGCTCTCTAACTTGGTGATGCTAGACCCAAAGTTGAGTGGCACCTAATGTGGTAAAGCCATAGCTCTTTGTTTGGATTTTTCCGAGCGCCAAGGTGGTGACGTTGAGTAAGAATCAAGTAGAGACTCTCTGCTTGAGATGAGCTCGTGTGTGGTAGTTTACCACTCTAAGCACGAGGTCTCAATGACCTCTATCTTAGCCACATCGGGCATAAGTTGTATAGCACTGGACGTAGGCGAGGCAGATAACTCCTTACCTAAATGGCGTTGGGTGCAAGGTGAGTAGTGTCAAGCACTCGTGGTTGAAGAAAAGTATAATGTAGTTGATGAAAGGTTGAACACTTGTTGATTTAAGGTGTTAAATGAGAATATGATGAATGAGTAGCAGAGATGAGGTAGTATGTGAAGATTATGTTGTGAGTCGTTAGTGGAAAAGTAGAAATGAGTTGTAAGTTGTGCGTTGATAGAGTTGTATGTTGACTATGTAATTGTGTTGAATATATGATGTATTATTGAGATGTATGTTGATTTTATTGTTGTGTTGAATATGTAAAAGTTGTCGTGTTGTTGAGTTGTGTTGATCACTTAGCACCAGAGGAGAGGTTTTTGAAAATTGCATATCCCATTATGCGGATATTGTGTCATGGTGCTCTAAGAGCCTAATTTGTTGAAAACCTTTCTTAGAAAGTTGACCCTTGAAATGGATATTGTGTTGATTCTCCGCTAGGACTTTGTTGGTACCATGTATGGGTAAGGTCGATGCACACATGTATGAAGTGACCACAATATAGGGGTCAAGTCGATTTATATCGATTAAAAGTGACTAACAGAGTAAAGTACGAAGTCGAGAACTTAGTTCTTGACTGAGTATCGCAAGAACATAATATTTGGAGGGTAGTCGCTGGATTAATCTCATAGGAGACTTAGTTAAGCTAGTTAATGTTGTGATAGGTTTATACCCAACTATTTTACTCTGATAGTAGTATTACATTTCCTTGTTTAATTGGTGATGTCCAAGAAATCGAGTTGCTATGTTATGGATTTATATCCAATTTGCTATTGATCTAACAAATCTAAAAAGACCATCCAGTGTTGTCAATTTAATAGGGTTAAGTCACTTAAATTATTCACCCTATGTTGTAGGAGACTTAGTTGAAATGTGTGATGACGTATGTAGTTACTGTATGGAGTTGATTATGTTGTTCATATGTGTTGATTTATGATGAAATATGTTGTTGTGTTGAAACTAAGTTGTTGTGTTGATAGTTGTATAATGTGATGTCCTATGTTGTGTTGTTAGAGATGGGATGACGATGATGTGATATTCTTATGTTGTATATACGTTATTTCTTTTTTACTTTAACCTATCCTTACTTGTTTTCATGTGGTTTGGACTATAATGACCATACGTGATGTAGGAGTAGGGCAGGGATAGGATTGAAGTGTAGCAGTGGAGGCGACTCAGTAGTATAAGAGTTGGAGGTTCTTTTAATGACCACCTTTAAGACAATTGTGTGTATTTGTAAAATTATTTGACCAATAACTTAAGTTGTATAATTTATATTTACAAAATTATTATATTTTATATTGCATGCATTTATACGAATTGTTTATCTTTATTTGAATGCAATATATTACATCTGTCTTGTAATTGCAAATTTATAATCCTAAAAGTTTAACATAGAAATAATGTCGGTTCGTTACATGGTCACACTCCACCAATATTTATAGTAAACTTTATTTGTGAAACTATGAACAATTAACTATATAGGTTGCATTCTCACTTTGTTACAACAATCGATAATCATATGAACTATAAACAATTAAGCAATTACCCCATAGGTTGTACTCTCTTATCATCTCAGCTAACGGTGTTCCATCATAAAACCCGTGATAAAAACACAACAAAATATGGATATGATGTCCGTGCACCGTCAATATAATTTTTTTCTCGAATAATTAGAAATTGTAAAAAAACAAATTTATCACAAATGATAATTTGTTATTAGATGAAGGTGTAACGCTGTGAAGATTATGTTCTATCTCAAATATTTCATCTTACAGATCAAAGTTATCACAATTCACTTTCAAATCAGTAATTGCTTTTAAATTATTTTAATAATTCATTTTATTTCTTTAATAAACTGTTTCACAATGTTCACCGGATGCTAAAGGAATAAAACGAATATATTGTACATTTTATGTCTTCTTAAAGCCGTTTTACCAATACTAACACCACACGTGTTTCAATTTTTATTTTACATAGATATCATAATTCGTAGTTTAAAAAAAACGACAAACAATAATAATTGAAGAATATTGACAATGACGGGTAACATTACTGACCACTCGTCTTGTCTGGATGCAAACAAATCATTAATTCATTATATGCTTCAAAATTTATATAGCATAGGGAAATCCCAATTAAAAATACAAGCCTGAAGTCAATAAGTCTTTTTTTTTTTTTTTTTTTACTTGGGTGGGTAAGACCACGTTTATTTATGCCAAACTTGTCCAATTCAAGTTGCTAGACTATTGGACAGAACAAACAGATAGCGTTCTTTAGAAGGCAAATTATTGCAGCCTCATTTTCCATTTGTGATTGGAAGTATTAACTCATGAACGTACAATATTGGAGAATGAATAAATATGGAAATTATATATATTTACATGAAAAAGTTTTAAGGTATAGAGAAATGATGGTGGATATTGAGTTCTCAAGAATATAAGGGAGTGATGATTACCTCTCTGTACCAACCACTATTCCCCACAGCAACCACCAAACTTTATAACCTTCAAACGCAAGAGACTAATATCTCTGAGTCTCGGCTCTTATTCACATTTCCTCTCTAATTCGTGAATTTTGTAACCACCATTGCTCCTAGCCTTGGATCTCACTGAACCAAGTCTATGAATGGCAAATACTAGATCTTGGACTCAGATATGGCCATCTTTTGTCACTCTATGTGTTCTAAATCTTGTCTTGGATTTCAAAATCACAGCATTTGCTGATGGCAGTGGAAGTGGAGGTGTAACTTCAGAAAACACTTGCAAGAACACAAATTATCAAAGTTTCCTCCCTCCACCGTACCAGAATATATCCCATATGATATGCACACCTGTATGGCATACCTATGAATTGAGGGTAAGTTACTAAGTTCATTTTGTTGTGGTCTTGTGGGTTCTAGTTCTACCCATTATTCTTTTCCACTCTTGATTGTTGAAACTAGCTCACTTGGATCTAGTTCAGGTTGCCCTCATTTGTTATGCAAGTACAATTTTTTTGCACATCATGAGCTGAGCTGTTTCTCAGTAAACAAAACAAAACCTAGAATCTAGCTAGAATTTTTTTGTTTTGTTAATTTGCAAATGCCTAGGTTGTCAATTTACAATCTAAATAGTTTAGTAGTGATCTTTTGTTGCAGTACATCCAGAATGGTGAAACCACAACTATCATATTATCTGCTCCGTACACTATAGGGTGGGTAGGAATTGGATTTTCTAGAGATGGTATGATGGTTGGTTCAAGTGCAATGGTGGGGTGGATTAGTAAACATGGTCATGCAAGAATCAAGCAATTTTACCTAAGGGGTAGGAAGCCATCAGAAGTCATAGTAGACAAAGGTGAACTTCCCCTCAGTAATGTCCCTGCGGCTGTGGCAACTAATGGGGCTCAAATTCATTTGGCATTTCAGTTGCAGATGACAACCTCATTTGAGAAACAACCAATTTTGTTGGCTTTTGGCAGTAAATATCCACAGAACCATCATCTCTCCAAGCATGAAGACAAAACAGCTATTGTCTTTGATTTTTCTGCAGGTCCAAAACCATTTCTCTATGACTAACTCCAGTTCAGCAGATATGTCATTTTATATTTTGTTGCACATTGTGACTGTGGTTTCTGATTCCAAAATCTAAAAGAACTTTTAAGAAATAGAATTCTCTCCTTTTGGCAAAATTTCACTTCAGTGAACCCCATGCTACTGTAGAATAATATATTAATTTAAAAAACCAAGTTTCAAAGTCAAAATTACTTCAGCAATTAAAGTAGATTTTTTTTAATTTTTTTATTTGAAGTATGTGTCCATGTCCTGGTCAAACAAAACTTGCACACGTGTATTTTCATATATTAATACATGATGAAACATGCTTAGCATTTTATGATGTATAACATGTATGAGAGCAGAAACTTGATCAACAATACTTTCACAGGTTCTACGAGTCCGGTATCCCATGAATCGATTCAGATGAGAACGAACCATGGAATTTTGGGTATAATTGGGTGGGGTCTAATCCTGCCTGTAGGAGCAATTATTGCAAGATATTTCAGGCACAAGGATCCCATATGGTTCTATCTCCATGCAGTCATTCAGTTTGTGGGATTCACATTTGGGCTTGGTACAGTAATTCTTGGATTACAACTATATTCTAAAATGCATGCTCATCTACCAGCTCACAGAGGCATAGGCATCTTTGCCCTGGTACTAAGTATTCTTCAGGTTTGTCATTGACCCATTTCTATAATATGTTCAGTCTAATAAGTGCATTTTGAACTGACTGTAAAGCTAAGTTCAGATATTGGCACTCTTCTTGAGACCAAAGAAGGATTCCAAGATTCGAAAAATTTGGAATTGGTACCACAGTTGGTTTGGAAGATTGGCTCTTATATTTGCAGCCATTAACATATTGTTGGGGATGCAAGCTGCGGGGGCAGGAAGTGATTGGAAGATAGGCTACGGATTCCTTGTTGGTGTTATGGTTGTTGCAGCCATTGTTCTTGAAGTATTGGCTTATTTGAAGAGATCAGAGATGCGTTCTCTACCTCCAAACTTCCAAATGGACCCTGTTGGAGCAGATACATTTCCAAGTAATCAAGCATTTTCTTGCCTTTTTCTTCCCTTCTTTTATATATCTGTTAAATGAAAATGGTGCTGAAAAGCAAAGCTATCTTATGTCACTTTGATGAAACAGGGGGGATATGATTGCTGCTAATTTTGCACTTCCACAAGAGTTGTCAATTGTTCCATCAAACCAGCCCATATTAATTCACATACAATTCAAGTTTGTGTTCGGGCATATTATTTGAATTCGTTTTGGCATGTTTCTTGATGCCATTTCTGGGTGTTCTTTCCTGGTGTACATATAGGTGGAAACGCATATATAACCAGCTAGAAGTTTGCCAAGTTGGACAATCCATGTTTGGCCTTCTTACACAACTTAAGGAGATTTAAGTCTTTTTTGTTTTCTTATTCCGCATTGGGTTTCTGTTGCTTGGTCAAGAATGTAAATGACGAAATTTACAGCTACATTTTGTAATTCGTAGCTTTTTTTCCCCCTTTTTCTTTCTTCCTTTTTCTGGGGATATATGTATTGGAATTTAAGAATCATAGTCTGTTCTTTGTTGAGTTACGAAAGATTACATTCATTTATCATCTTCTTCAAGGCATGTACGTTCTCAAAACGAGTTAACTGTAGCCATTAGGGCGTAGACCTCTCTATAATTTAACAGAAATATAAAATGTTCGTCCCAATAGTGCATTACCAGCTGCTGTATTACAATTTGCTATAGATTTTCAATGCGGTCCAGTGAAACCTTTACGATCAATCAATAACTTGATATAAACTTGTGCACTCAATTAGTAAGCCACTTACAAAGTTTTCCATTATAAAAATACCTGATTTAATAAAGACTCGAGCATTTTATTCCATTATAAAAAAAATTGGGAACCGCGTTTTCTTTCATTCTTGATGAAACCTCAAGACTCAAGACCAAATTTATTCCATACTTATAAATTTAATCGTACATGTCAAGACTCGAGCATGAAGCAATGTGACGTGGACATACCACATACCCTAACGTATGTATATGTTTACAATGAAGCATCTATACGCACCGCATAAATTATATTAGGAAGTCAAATAATATTACCAGGTTAATGGTTACCTTGAAAATTGAGATACTGACAGACAGGCACACTAAGTTCAAGAATAGGGCTTAACTTTTTTACTTTTTGTATTTAAAAAATAATGATCCTTATTAATATGATATTCCTTCACATCATTTAACAATTCAATACCAAGTCGATCAATAAAAAGAACCCCACTATGACCTAACAAAATATTAAGAAATTAAGAAAGTATATACAAATGAACAAAATTAATTATCAAAACCATTGGTAATGTTGTAACAAAAAATAATAATAATTAGAACGATCCATCAGTCCCGTAATTCATTATTATCAAAATTGTCTAACTACATAGAGAACCAAAATTTTCACCTTGAAGGTGCCTCAGGAACAGGAACCCTGAAACTGACTGCAATGAACCTGCAGACTGAGAAAGATGATTAGCATGAATGCTGCCCCACAGGCGATCTCATATTTAAGCAAAAAATAGTGGGCTTCAGTTCATTCCAGAAACAAAAAACTGTGATTTCTGGGAAAAGGAACAAATAAAATAGCTCTAACTTTTGTCAATGAGATAATACCTAATGATGAAGAAAAGTCTCCAATCCTCCATCTTAAATACAGACGGGAATCTGCAATATTTCGTGAAATTGAATGATTAGTCAGTCAAATCTGATTTGCACGATCAAAAGAAATCAAATTTCAAATATATCAAGTTAACTTCAGAAGATATAAAAATATGAAAGTGGAAGACCTACCAGAAACCTCCCAAAAGATAGTGAAGCTATTAAACTGAAGCTGATACACCAGGGCATTTTGTAATTGAATTTCAGATATGATCGAAATACCACATCTCTCGTGCCAAATTATTAGGTCTTCTTTATCCACAATAATTCCGCTAAATTTCATTAGTAACAACAAAGAACTGTGGATTAAGCAGTAGCTGTACAATCTTTACCAGAAGAGAAATTGATAGACTTGGGAGCATGACTTCCTCTAACTACACGGTTATGGATAACCTTGAATGACTGTGAGCCATTAGGTCGAGTCAGCAAACTTATTGGCATTCTCAGAGTCTGCTTTCGATTTCTTCTTCCTCGAATCAAAATGCTGAAGGTTTTCTCGCCATCCATGTTTGTTTCACTACTGCTAGAGTTGTCATTTGAACCAATGTTTTGATTTTGCTTGTTCCCAGCATTTTCAGTCCCTTGAAAATTCATATTACCATTTTCTTTTATACTTTCTGAACCAGCTCTTGCTGCTTCATCTTCACTTATCTCTGACGCTAAAGTTTTTACCACTTTATTGGAATCCTCAACATTATCAATGTCCTCAGGCAGAACTGAAGCTGAACTTGGACTTTCAGGACCATGACACAGAACTTGTGACTCTGAAATGGGATCAGGGATTGGTTCAACAATAGGCACCGGATGGGGAAATTCCACTGGATGACAACCAGGCCAAACAGCACTGGGACCAAATTTAGATATTGTGGGGTTCAAATTACATTGCCATGTAAAATGATTGGCATGAAAGGCACTGCTAGTGACTGGAAAGTTGCTAGGTGGTATTGATTGAGCTTGAGTATAAGGAGGATACATAAATGGCAATGGTTGCATCATGTTTGGTGTTGGTGGAGGTGATGGATATGCATGGTGAGGAGAGGAGCACATCTGGGTAACTGCAGGTAGCACAGTAGTAGGTCCAGGATGGACATTCATGTTTACTGGCCAGGGCCCAATTGCAGGAATTGCACTAGGCCCAGAAGGAAGAGTCATATTCATGGCAATTGGTGCACGTGCAATGGCAGGTGATGGGTTGAATGGAGCTGCAGATGCGGACAACTTTTTATACGGGATGCCCCCGGCATGACTCTGACTTGATGGTGATACATTGACCCTTAAGTCCTCACCAACCTGGGAAATGGGATTTGTATTATCACTAGATTCTAAACTGCCAGACGAATTACTTGCATCAAGTTCTTGTTTGTAAGAATCCACATGATCATGTACTGCATGAATCAAAATGCTGCTATCAACTGCTACTTGAGCCTCAACATGCCCCTCAGCACTCATACAATTATCTTGCTCAGTAACCATCAATTGAGTTTCCTCTTTCCCCTCAGTAGCAACTCCAGTATCATCCTGTGAATCATCTACAGAATCTGATAAAGAATCATTATTCTGCTCTTTAACCATATCATTTACCTCTGTCGGGGTTGGATCAACATTAACATTTCCATTAGCTTCAATATCTTCCTCTTCATGTTTGCCACCATCATGTTCACAGCTAACAGAAATCTCAGGATTGTAGACCTGCATTTTGGAGATTGTCCCTGGAGGAGCTAAGGCCACTTCTTTGTATGAAGGAGACTTTCCAAGACTAACTATAGAACTCTTAACTGGATTAATGTCAATTGGATCAGGTTCTGAAAGAGAACTGAACAGCTTGTCACCATTTTCTGACATCTCATTTGCACTAGTCTTGGAAGTTGAGGGCACGGACTTGACCCTGTATGTAACAGCTTTGACTACTTTCCTTCCAAATTTACTGCCTTGGGTGATGTTTACAGTATGATCATCTGTATTAACCCCATGGGAAATTGTCCGTTTCTTCAAGAAATAATACCTACTATTTGGATTAGCACTCCTAACAAAAGGAGATTCTGTGCCAACTTCCACATTCTTTTGATAACTATAAATTTTGCCAAGTGTTGCCCGTCTCTGCTTCAGTCTTCGGCCATATGAGCCAGCTGATCTTGGTCTTTGAACTGGTTGCCATCCATCCTCTCCTTCAGCATGTGCTTCAGACAAGATTTCATCATAAATTTGTGGCTTTTCATCTGATATTTGTTTTGAAATAGTATGTTCCAAATCAGGTCTGGAGTTGCTTTCCTGCTCAGAATCTGCACTACCTACTGGTACATGTAATTGTACCTCTTCATCTGAAGCCTCTTTTGGAATTTCTTTTGAAGACTCATCAGAACTTGACATGCCAATGTTCTGATAGGATGTTGCTCTCACCTGCCAAATATTAAAATATTAATTATACAAGTGTTTATGCATGTATGTAAATTTATACCAAAGAAGAGGTGGATGTATGCAAATATCGGCACAAGTAGCCTAGTTCCCACAATAATATAAAGACTAACAGTTCCAAGGCAAGAAAAAATTGCCTCCACTAGGTATATGACCCTCCAATTACTTCTTTTCCTTCTTATAAAAGACGATTAATTTTGAATTTATTCCATACTTGTTAGATGTTAGATTTTTTAACAGTTTGAAGAAAATATGAAAATAGAGAAGATGATTTAGTTGGACCTTTCAATGTCAAAATTTATATATGGGTACAACAGTTTTCTTGTTTTATCGAGGGTTAGTCCTTCATGATAGAAGTTAGCTAGATTTCTAACCATGCATTAACAAATTATTATATGTCTTGCATATTATTAATTCTTTGACTACTCTATTTGCCTTTGTCAACTCAAAACATACAGTTTTTTCTGTACATGGTTATTTTTCAAAAAACTGTGTAGCTGACCAGATTTACGATTAAAGATTATTGCTGCCCACATCCCACTGATCAAAACAAAACACAATGCTTAGAGAAGAGATCTTATGACCCAGATGACAAATACTTTGGTTCACTTGGTCTTACAGCTTAAGAATATTTCTCAATAATCAAGCCATAATAAAACACCCTTTAGAGGGGTTTGAGTTTCGTTAAACAAAGGCAACCAACTGTTCCACAATCAAATCCTGAAAATGCCCTAGTCAAACCCTTGTAGCTATATCAAAAGACATATATAAGCCATTGACGGTAATCAATAATCAGACAACTCTTTTATAAGTGTTTCCCCTAGATCTTAGAAGACTCAAAAACTAATGACTTGAACTTATCAAGACCAGTAAATCAGCAGCGTACCTTTGTTATCTGGGTTCTTCTCTTTGCAGCTGCATCTCTCCCTTTAGTATCATGATTAGGATTAATGTAGTCAAGCAAATCTGACACACTGAAAAATTCAATGAAAAGAAAAGGAAATCGTTACAAAAGATATCTGTAAATGAATGTTATGAATATTTCAATGTGTACAAACAAATCATTGTCTTTTTATAGAAATTACGCATACCGATAATATTTACAAGTCAATAGGATAATATTATTCTGTTTGGAATTTGGAAACAAGCTTAGATGTACTTTTGAAAGCTTCTCTACTAAAAATAAAGTACTGAAAATAACTTTATTTTTAGTAGAGAAATTCTTAAAAATACTTCTAACTTGTATCTGAACAAACACTATATCACTATACAAACAGAAAATTAGACACAAAATAGTTGGCTGTTTCAGGCACGTGACTCTATGGGTCAACCAGCAACACACAGATTGGATTTTGTTCTGTTGCAGTTTCTATGTCTCTACATTGTCCATGTCAATTTTCTTATGCTTCTAGCATTGTCACTTAGAAATGTGAAATGTCCATGATTGCAAGCAAAGTATAG